TATCTGCCTTGTTGGCCTTCCCCCTCATTTCACCCAGCCTCACAGCTTCCTGGAGCTCTATCTTATCAGTTGTGTTCTAAACAAAAGTCACTGATGTCTGGTTTCTGCAAAGAGAAAGAGTTTGTGTTTCTTTGGTGTTTTTTGGCTATACTCCGAACGCATGCCTTAATTTCACTGCTAGCAGTAAGCAAAAAGCATTCGGGAACCGGGTTTACTCTTAAATTTCCTGATTACACTTTGCGTAAATACAGGCATAAGATATAAGACCTTACACAAGCTTCTATTAGGTAATAAGTGATTCTCAAGACGAGAAGAGCCCAGCATGGTGATCTCATGCTGAGCTGTGTTTCTAAGTAGGCAGAAAATCTTTTTGCTTGACTGAGGAGATCTGACGCTTAAGTTATTGTGAGTCTGTAAACAGAGTACCCCACAATGCTTTTTGAAAAAGATGTTTTTGGATGGTGCCTCTTATTGGTGTTCTCCTCATGGTGCAGCTCTGCTTTTGTCAGGTTGTAATAATCCCAGAGCCAAATTCTGTATACCCACGAATCCTTTCCCTCTACCTTTGACATGAGATTCTGTTGTTACTGCCTGTAATCATCAGGTAGAGAATTGCAGTGTGGGTGTATTGGCAATGGCGTGTCACATTTCGCATGTTTTGAAAGCAAATCCTTCTCCTTCTCCTCCTTTTATGGCTAGAAAACAACAGTCCACCCCAAGCACATGCTGGTGGGAAGCATGTTCTAGTGCTTCCAAATAACTCTATTGCCTTGGATGGCTCAAGGTCTGCTGATGACCAGGGGATTGTGTCGTATTTGTGGATTCGGGATGGCCAAAGCCCAGCAGCTGGGGTAAGTTTCTTGAAGGTTGTAATGAGTCAAATTCAGCTCTCGTTTTGCATGTAGTGTCACTGCAGCAGGACAAGCGGGTACGACTCATAAGATGCTCTGAGGCATGGTGTCTGTTTCTGGCTTGTCTCCCCTGCTCTCCCTAATGCTTTGGTTCAAGGGGCTTGTGATATTTTCAGTACAGCTATAGAATATGGTAGCTAAGTAAGAGGACTGCAGCAGGGTGGGCTTAGTTGGGAAAGACTCGAGACAGAAGAATAAAGTTGTGTCTCTCAAAATGTAATTGGTGATAGTACCAAGCTAATGTGTTTGAGACAAATATCATCTGAAATCCAGATATTTCAAAGGAGGAAGGGTCTGAGAGAACAAGAAGTACCAATAAAGACTTAAGAAATCATGTCTGGTACCAGATGAGGCGAAACTTGCAGTTTAAGATAAAAATGGTGTTTGGCGCTAGATCGCCTGGCAGAGTGCAGTGAATAGCCTGGGTCATTAGGGCAGTGGAGTCTGCTTTCTGCGTGGGGGCAGACAGCAGAAGTACCTCATGATAAACTGATAATTTCTTTTGCCTATCCACACAAAGTGTTGTGGACAGCTCTTTGCAGTCAGGAAGATAGTGGCAAATCAGCAAGAACTGGGAGAGGAGAATCAGAAAAATGATAACAAAGCTTCTAGAAGCAATTCACATGAGGGTATGAGAAGAATTGAAGAGGTTTAACTGAAATATAGCTGGCAGAAATGATAGTTGGAAATACGTGAACTCCAAGGAAAGGAAATAATTTGGGAGTTAAGAAAACAGCTAAGGATATTGGAGTAAAATTGAGAAATAATAATGTAACAGTCTCAGATTTTCAAGCAGATGAGTATTTGAGAATGTCAGCTGTTCTGTCTGGATTTTTTTTAATGAAAATATCATGCTGTGCAGACATCCTCATTAACTGCCACTTCCAAATTTGCATTACTCTGCTATAAACTGTGGGTAGGTCCATTTGTCCCAAAAGCCAAAGCAAGAACTCACACTGTCGTACCAGATACCTGACTTGATAGTCATACCTGCAACTTTCTGAGGGTATAATCATCCCAGTACCTTTTTTTTGCAGGATGTGATCCATGGCTCAGACCACGAGGCAGTACTGCAGCTAACTAATCTGGTGGAAGGAACCTATACGTTTCATTTGAAAGTGACAGATGCTAAAGGAGACTCAGATATTGATTCAGCAACTGTTGAAGTGCGGCCTGGTATGACAATTAAAAGGTCATCGATATGTTGTGAATACCTCATCTTTTGTTTTCCTTTTCACTTGTTTATTTCAATGTTGACAAGATTCTCTCAAGTTAAAACACAAAGCAAACGGGTCTCTCTTTTCCTACCTTCTTATTGTTCTCTCAATAGGCCTGAGTGTTTTAGAAGAAGACATGTCAGGATTCTTGACTACCAATTACACCATTGCCTTACTGGAAGCATAAATAAATAAAAATCACTTCCTAGTTAATATTTTCGTTAGGTTTTTGTTGCTTTTCATTCATTGTAGGTTTTTGTTTCTTTTTTCTGGTTGTTAATCAGTTTGGCCAATGGAAAGAGATGGGAGCTGAGCATTAAGTTTAGGTATAAGTGCTGCAATTGTGTTTGATGGTTGGAAGTGTGTTTTTATGCTTGTTTTCCTTCTTTCATCCTGAAGGACAAAAACAAACCTTGAAGAATTTCAGGGGTTTTAAAATTGTCTTTTCATGGTTTGATATTGCTCGTATATAGACTTGTTTTCAAATGCAGGATAAATGGCTATGTGATGGAAGCATAAGATGAGGTTTCAGGAAACGAGTCTGAAATCTTGAGTTTGTCAGAGATTTCTTGTTTGTCTGGTTCCTGGACAATGATTTTATTTCTGTTGCTCACTTTATTGTTGAATGTAGTCACAATAATTGGCTCAGGATTCTCACTGGATATCTGTGAAGCTTGTTTTGTTTGCAAGGCACTCTAGAAGTTCAAATATTATTTAACAGAACCCTCAGTTTGTGAAAGTAAACATACTTGATATTTCTCAAATTGACCACCCTCATTTAGACTTGCTCACACAGTCTTGCATGCTACCATATGAGTCCATCTTTGCCTCCCTTTTCCTGGGTGGTAGCCAGTAGTAGATAACTAGCAGGGAACTTAAGAATTAGACTCACCTAGTGCTTACCTCTGACCTTAAGATGGCAGTATTTAGGGGAACAGAAATTGCTGTTCTGCACAGATATGTGTTAATGCTGAACTAAAGTACACACTAAAATGCTTTCTTTCAACTGATAAGCTGGGTTGCTATTTTAGGACCCACAAGGTTTGTTTCAGAGGGAATGTGAACATGTAGGCTAAGTACTTTTCTAAGAACACAACAGGGTTGGGTTATAAGGGATATGGGTCTTATGAGGGAAAATACAGTATTAATAAATACTTTTGAGTACTGCATGTTGTCTTCAGTTGGTACTGAAATATTTGCCAGACTCTGAAAGAATAGCATGTTCTTCTTCTGTCAGATCCCAAAAAGAGTGGTCTGGTGGAGCTGATTCTGCAAGTTGGAGTGGGACAGCTGAGTGAGCAGCAGAAGGACACCCTGGTGAGACAGCTGGCTGTATTGTTGAATGTTTTGGATTCAGATATCAAAGTTCAGAAGATACAAGCCTACTCTGATATAAGGTACAAAGATATCCTGCTGTGCCAGGAAGAATTGTGATTTTCATTGACTCTTTCACAGCTCATAATTAGTTGCAAAATAATCTTTTCTAAGATGACAAAAAAGTGCTGTAGCTCTCAACAGTATATACTTTAAAAGGTGAATTTCTTCCACTGTAGTAGAAAATTGAAGAAGTAGCCTCTGTGGAGGCTCAGAATTGAAGTGGTTTTGTTTTTTTTTTAAAAAAAAAAAAATTCTCTGTGTAGTTTTTTTTATTTATTCCTTTAAAGAAAGCATGTGCATATATTTCAGTGTCTTTGTTCCATACAGTGCTATTATTTTTCCCAAATGGTGGATGGAGTGAGACGGACTTTCTCACAGTGAAGCAAGTATTGTATTTCAGAATAAGGTTCCAGCTGTATCTGATCAAACCTGGTTTATTCCCCTTTTACTTCCTCTAAGGTTTTGATATTCTAAGTATTTTATAAACATTTTCCCAGGTAACTAGTGATGAAAACCCATTTTTTGCAGAGAAAACTACACAGTGGATACTCCTAAGTGTGGTATCTTACTCTGAAGTAGAAATACCCCCTCTACTTGCTGTAGAGATGGCTGTGCGTAACCAGAGAAACTTCTCAGCATGATTGGTAGAACCTGTTGACATGAGTTATCTTTAAATTACTTCTTGGTAATTTAAAACCCATTTTGGTGTCTTTTTAGCTTTCAGGGAACCTCTTAAAATTTAAAAACAAACAGTTTGGAAAATCTAGCATTTATAGCTATGATATTTTTAATCACAGCTTCCAATTACTGGTTTTCAGATAAAGATGTTCCCTGAAGTGTCTGATACAGGATGAGATCAACGCCACCCAACTTAAAAAGGGAGCGGGGGGAGCGGAGGGCTCCCACATGAAGTTCTCTGGCTCCCTTGCTTCTGAACTTTTCCTCCTTTTAAATTCAGTTTCAGAAAGTTACTCAAACTGCTTCAGAGTGCTTTGTGACAGGTTCTAGATGAGGGTGGGGGAAGCAAATGTATACATACTTCTCTTAAAGCCAGAGTCAGGAAAACCAAGGAGGGAATTATATTTGCTGTTGTCCTCACCTTTCTTCTGTGAAACTGAGAAGCCAGAGAACTGCTGGTGCTCCCAGCTCAGAATGAAGTCCGTGGCATTTGGATGGAGTTGACTGATCCATGTTCAGAGTTCCCTAATCTTTATCAGTGGTGACATTTGCTTTCCAGAAACAAACAAAACCAAAAGCTGTAAACAGAATGCCTGACAAAAGTGATCTTTCACAGCAGTCATGACCTTAGCTGTTCTTTCTGCAGCACCGCGGTTGTGTTCTACGTGCAGAATGGGCATCCTTCCAAGGTGATCAAGGCATCAGATGTCTCGCGAACTCTGCATGTGCAGCTTTTGAAAGAGAAGGCTGACTTTCTGCTTTTTAAAGTCCTGCGGGTTGACACAGCTGGTATGTTTTGGATCGTGCTTGCTCATCTCGGAACTTTGCAGGCATTTGGCTAACACAGCACCTGGAAACAGTGCATGAAGGCCTTCTGTCTGCCATCTGGTGTCTGGGCTTGGATGTAGCTTTCCGAAAGATGACGTTGAAGACAATACTTAAAATGCTTGTTTACTTGTGGTAGACTGGTGCCGGTTACTTGTGTTCTTTTGAAAGACACTGTCTGTAACAGCAGGCAAAAGCCCATCTTAATCTGGTCTGCATCAGGAAGGCCTGGGGAATGAGGATAAAGATACCCCACTCATACCATCTTTTGTTGGAAGATGGACAAAACTTAATATAGCCATAATAAGAAAGTTTCATATCTCTGGTTCCTTTAGGGTTTTTAGTGTTCAGTAATAGGCTTGTAATGTAACTTGGTTTTGTCTGCATCAGGCAAAACGTCAGGTGATCACTGTATTATAACCTAGTCTTCTAATATTTGCAATATAGACAGGCTGCCAGGGTTTCTTATAATGAACTTTTTCTTTTCCCCAAAAAGATGCTTGAACTTCTAAGCCTATTTTAAATTTCACTAGTAATGTGAACCCTTTATGTTACTCAGATATTACAGATATGAATTCTCCATAATTTAAAATCAGGATCCAAATGCAAACAAAGTGAGCAAGCTCTCGCAATAAAATAGTAGTTGATTCTGTAGTAAATTGTGTCTTTATTTACCTGTTGAAAAGGACTGTTCCATTGTAAATGTACTTGAATTATTGAAATGCATAGATGTCACTTGAAAATATGCGTTAACATTTTTCTTGACATAGCAAATCTGTTACTCTAAGTTTTAAGGGGAGTAACTTTTTATGTTAGTCTGATATGATGTATTGATCTAGCAATAGCTACTACTATAAACAGATGAGGTATGCAAATGTTCTGGCCTCAGATGCTGTAATTCAGTTTTGAAATACTAAAATACACACTAGTTTGTTGGGATGATGCTTGTCTTCTAGTACCTGAGAATGTGGATATTCCTCAGTTCTCAGGTACTTTAGAAGTTCTTACAAATATGTCATAAAGAAAGGAGCAGGTCTGAATTCCACAACTTTAACTCATCTTTTATTTCTAGTTAGAATAAACTGTTCTTGACTTGCATACAATTTCAATATTGTATGCATAAGATATATTCTTATCTTTCTTTTCACAGCCAGCTGTCTGCTGAACTGTAAATCTATTTAACACACCACCAAAGGGAAGGGAGATTTAAAAAATATCAAAATGTTATGAAGTAGATGTTTTACCACCCACCTAGTCTCACAGTAAGAGGATATGTGACAAGTTGTCCATTTACACAATTGACCCTATGTTTGGTTTTGTTCTTAGCCTGTCTTTTAAAATGCTCTGGACATGGACACTGTGACCCCATAACAAAGCGCTGCATTTGCTACCAGCTGTGGATGGAAAACTTGATTCATCGTTATCTAAATGATGGAGAGAGTAATTGTGGTGAGTTTGGGTGTTGCGGGATGTATTTCAAGAATCTTGTGAGACTGTTGATTATTTGCTGTCAGAATGGGGAGTACTTAGGAGGTAGAAGCTGAGGGAAGACTAAAACAGTCTCTCTGTTTTCCAGCCCAGCAATATCTTTCTATAGAAATATATTTGAATAAAGTCTTGAAATTATAATGTCTTGACAGTAGTAGCCTATACTTAAAGTATTTTAACAGTTTAAATTTTAAAACGTATCACTATTTGAGGAGAAAAGCATGAAAACTTTGTCATGGGAGAGAGATCTTGCAACAATTTGGGGGCAGTTGGAAGGGTTGTTGAATAGCGTGGGCGTTGCAGAGCTTTTGAGTAGTATTCATCTGATCGTTGCAAAGCTGAAAAAGATGCAACAACTTAGATTCTCTGAGTGGGTGGTTGATGTTTCTGTGCCAGAAGTATGATCTGACCTAAGGAAAGAAAACACCAGTGTTCTGGACTAACCAATATAGTCACCTGTAAAACCTCAGCTTTTTAGCATGATTAATTTCATTGTTTCTTTCAGTTTGCCTGTTGCACCTGGGAAATGCAATTTAGTTTCACCAGCTTAATCATGTCTATATTCTGTGGCACACCTAACATATCAGCTAAGCCTCTCTATTTCAAATATTTAATAGTTTCAATTTAACTAAGTTTGTCTTCTACTTAAGTTGAAATAAAGCTCAACTCCTAGTACTGTGCAGGCTTAGAGACATTTGCTGAGCAATGCACTAGTCTTCAAGTAAAGCTATAGAAATTTATAAGGAGCTTGCTACAAGCCATTAAGTAACCATGGGCCATGTGTCTGTCTGTTAGTGAGCGAAGACTAATTGACCAACCAAAATAGGACAGCAGGTTTTAAGCCTGAGGCTGGGACTTCCTGCAGCCCTGCCCTAATGCTGTGCTGTTCCATAGTGTAATAATAACACTGAAATAGTGAGTATACACATGTTGGAGTTCACATTATTGCACATCTCTCTGTATCCTTCCCGGGTTTTCCTGGATTTACAAATTTAAGTGTGCAGGTAGAAGGATCTTTCTCTAATCAGCTGCTCTTTTAAAGCACTACTAAAATGCCAGACCCAGAGTACACACGTTTATTTCAGTTAGAGAATGACAACTGAGGTGGTAACCATGCCCTCTTGACTTACAGTTCCGACATAGACTTCAGGTGTCTTGGGATGGTAGAAGGTATTGGAGTGGAAGAAAATTTTCAAAAATGCACTTTCAGTCTGGAAGCTTAAGAATTTTTAGGGATTCTTCTGATAATATGAAGCTGCTAAGTTTTCCTAAGTTCCTGTTGCCACTCTCCATTCCTCAGGATTGATTATTTTAATAGAGTTGTATTAGGAATTATTCTATTCATATTACTTTACAAAGCACTGTTGTGTTTCTTTTTTCAGAGTGGAGTATACTCTATGTGACTGTATCTGGTTTTATTTTGATTGTGGTCATCGTAGGGCTTGCCTGGTTCTGCATCTGCTGCTGCAAAAGGTACATGATTTGTGGTTTTTTTTGATGGGGTATATGCAAAAACTGCACACAACTGCCGCATTTTAGTCCAGTCCTTAGCACTAAACTACTGAACTCTTTTCAGACATGTGAGGAACCTCCTGTAGCTATTTTTGTATAGACACACTTTCATTGAAAAAAGGAGTATCCGTTTGTGGTTCTGTGCTCTTCTGCATTTCGAAAACCAAAAAGCCTATATTGGATATCCTTCATATTAAGAGGTAATTTATGTTAAAATGCTGAGAGTATACTGCAGATCTTCATGGTCTCCCACTGAGTCCTCCAGGTACTCTGTGCTGATAAAAAAGAGGTACGCCCTGAAGGTCACTGATGTAGGAGTGTTCTAGGCCATGGGAAGGGAGCTGCTCCCAACCTGGTGTCTCCCTTGGACAGGAAGGGTGAACATGTGGGCTGCATCTGGCTGACAGGCAAGGAGTACTCCAGAGATCTCAGTCACGCAAACTTCTTTCTTCCTCTTTCCTTAAACAGTTTTGCCTACTATTGTATGTCATTTCCCTCTCTGCACCCCCCTCCAGTCTTTCCTAGCGAGCTGGTAAGAAATTTTCTTTTAAGTGACAAGCCCTGCAAGTTCTGTCACTACAGCAAGTGTGTTTGTTGCTGCTTGAAAAGCCCAGCAAATAGATAGCTTGTTCAGGTATTAGCAAAAATGAAACACCATCAAAATCTTTCTGGATTTTCCACTTTTTCTAGGGTGTCTTTGCAGCATGTAAAGGATGCTGTTTGAAATGCATGGGAGTTGATACTGATTTCCTTTTTATGATTAAAGGAACAGTGCTGTTAGTAGAATAAAATAGTAGAATAGGTTTAAATAGAAGTGTGTCCCACTCCACCCCCACAGTATGGGGTGGACCTCACAGGCTCGTGTGGATTTGATGAGAAAGGGATTGTTTATGGAGTTCAGCTGCTTCTGTCCATTGTCCTCATGTGGTTTGTGCCAGAGAGTAAAGGCTGATTGATACAGATACGTGTAAAAATGAGGAGGGAAATGCTGCACAGGACAGAATGGGAAGAGATGCCCTTTGCCTTGTGGAAACCACAGGAAAAAGATACACTGTAGTCCAAGATTTGGCTGGAGTTTTGGAGGATTTAAAGGCTTTGTTGAGTTGCCAAATGAACTCCTATTTTTTTAGATGACTGTAGAGGGGAGGCTGAGTGGCTGGCTATTGCTGTAATGTCAGCTGAGCAGTAGGTGGCTTCTCCTTCACTGTGAACCATGCAATCTGGGTGGGAGTGCTTCTTCAGACCTTGCCTTGACAAAGGGCATGTCCCACCCACCCACCCCCCCTCCAAAGTTATGAGAAAGAGGTCCAGAAAAATGCCTGAGGTGTGACAGCATCTTCTAGGAGGTGCCCCCTTGGTTTCATGCATGAATGCCCTTCCTTCTACCCTGAAATCCTTTGTTCCCTCTCCATCCAATACAACAATTCTGTGTTCCTCTAGCTCCAGGACTTTTCCTTCTGTATTAATGAGCAGATGAGTAACTGCTGCAAATAGCTGAAACTTAACATAGAGATGATGATGTTTGCAGCATTGTGGAAGCAGATGCTAGGGAAGGATATAAATGAAAAAAGAACAGATGGGGATTTGCCTACAGACCAGTAGGGCTTTGTCCCTGCATAATATATGAGGGAGCCAATCTCCATTTTTGTCTGGTCTTCTCTGTAAGCATAAATAGACAAGCACCACTTAAATTCTCTCAGTTAAAAAAAAAAATCAGGAACTAACCAATTCTTACAGAAAATTTATTTGGAAACAAATGGATATATGTCTACCTTGTGTCTAGTTACTATGTTGAAATTGAACAAACTGAACCCCTGTCGCTTAGGAAAGCAAGTCTATCTTTCTTACTTTCTTCATCTTTGTATATCAGAGAGAAAATAAATTATACCCTCTGGTCCAGATTGTACAGCTGCTTTATACAGGTATAAAATGGAACAACTCTTTTTAAGTGGAGGTGAGAAAGTACAATGAGGTTCTGTATATTGGGGTATGTAGCTATGTGTATGAAAAAGGAGGGGGAGCGGATTTATGTGTGTACGTGAGAACTAAATCTTTGTGGTAACTTTCTTTTTAGCAGAAAGAGGACAAAGATAAGAAAGAAAACAAAATATACCATCCTAGATAACATAGATGAGCAGGAGAGAATGGAGCTACGACCCAAATATGGTAAGCACTATCTGTTTCAGCTGGGAACTCATCCACCAAGCTTACAGTCAATGTGTTTGAATCGACACCTGCAGTCAGGAGCCCAGAAGCTGGCCTACAAGTTTGGGAATGGCAGAGGCAAGCATAGACAATGAAATGGTTGAGGGAGAAACACTTCATTTCTTTCATGAGGCCTTGGGCTCAGCCACTGCTCTTCGTTAATCTTAATTTAGAACATCTAATTGTCCCACAGACTTTCTTCATGTAATAACCCCTCCTCCCCTGCACAGACTTTAATTTGGAGCTGTTTTTATTGCTGTGCAGCAGTTCCCTCCTGGTCCGTAAGTGCCCAGTTAAACATCAGTGGACTTCAGCTGCTACCCTCTGTTCACATATATTTTGATTTACCCAAGTTTCAGTTTTTAGCAGGGGGAATATTGGAATCCAAGGAAATAAAATCATTCTGAGAAATTGCTGTCCTAGAAAGACAGACATAACATTTCCGTAGAAACCATGACCTTTCCTTGCCACTCCTGTTAATCAGTTGAGTGGACAGACTACTTTCCAGATTCAAGCTATTAAAAGTACATTAGCTATGTACTAAGAGCATCTAATTTAAATTCAAACACACATATTCACATTTCAGAGCCATAAACTGATGGGCCTGCAGTGAAGTCGGAAGAGTGTCTGCCTGATAGTATATGATACCTCCTAGGCCAGTTTTTATATTGGTGGTGGCAGTGGTGTACACTGTTATGCTGGATTGCAGAGAATGTTTTCACTTATCTTTCGTATCACAGCAAAGGAGAGGATGGTTAGTTGTTACTAAAAAGTGAAACCTTTCTAATGAGCTTGTTTTGCTTTTTTGTTGTCAGGTATAAAACACAAAAGTACAGAACACAACTCCAGTCTGATGGTCTCTGAGTCAGAGTTTGACAGTGATCAGGACACTATCTTCAGCAGGGAAAAGATTGAAAGAGAGAATCCTAAAACCCTAATGAATGGATCCATCAGAAATGGAGTTTCCTTCAGCTACAGCTCCAAAGACAGATAACTGAATGAGGGTAAAAGCACAGAACACGCTGGTCCAACGTATCTGAAACGTTGGCCCACCTCTGTTTTTCCAGAACCGAAAGCTTCCTAAAATATCAACTAATTGCAGATGAAAGGGTGAATTTCTAGCACAGTTAGGGGAAGGAAGGAAGAAGGATTAGATGGTCAGCTAACTCTTGTCACCATTGTAAGAAGAAGGAAAAGCACATCTTATTTCTTGCACGTTCCATGTTGAATGTTTGTCTGAACTTCAGAAGGCCTTTTTTCCTGTATCACTGCTACAAAACTAGCCAGGGCTGTTGTGCTACTAACAGTGGTAACTGAGATGCATACAGATTCGTGTCCTGTGCTCCCATCTCTCTCTCTCGGAGAAGGAGTGTGATTATGATGCTGACCTAAAACAGCGAAAGCCAATATAGGTAAATTTCCTTACAACTATAGAGAGCAATATGTGACCACAGGCTCCATCTTCATTTGCAGTTCAGGTGTGGAACACAGAGAACATTTTTAGTGCATTGTATTTATCTGACTGTGCTTTGTGACTTCCTTTTCCTAGCGTAGTGCTCATCAGATGGAAATGTCTTTTGTTTTCAAAGAAAGTTTACAATTAGCAGTTGCACTTAATCAGCTGTAAAGTAATATGATACATCTGTGTCCTGTAGGATGCGATGTTCCCTGTATTTACATAGAAAGTATGGTGCCTGCAGGGAAGCCCACCCTTAGATTGCTTCTGTAATGATGAAGGTGCTTTGGCTCTCTAGAGTCTGCAACATCTAGCCAGGAAGCAGTAGCGGAAAGGCAGGAAGGTCTCAGTGCAATGCGCCTTCAGAAGCATTTTGAGCATCCCAAACAACTTTTTTCTTAGAGGGCACTTTAAAGGAGCTCTGGACCTTTTAAGACTGAGATGAGTTTTCACTTGTCAGCCTCAGTGCTCAATTAAAGAATGTGCCAGGCATTTGTGTAGTGAGACGCTTGTGGCAAAATACCCTATGCGGAGCAGGAGGTTCAACACCTACCTTCATTGTCATAGGCATTGGTACTGAGGAAGGTTTTAGCTTGAACACTAACTTGTTTTACTTTTTCACATGTGGCTCTTCAGTGTCTAGATGTATTGGCCTAAAGAGATCCCTTTAGGTGTTTGGGAAGGGTAGGTGCATTGGAGTTCTGATGTTCTTGTTCGCAATCTGGATAATTTCTTTACAGCATGCTTGTTAAGCTTTAAAGCCATGTCCCCAATACTGTTCTTGAAATCCCAAACTGAAGACCTGGCTTTTATACATAAGCCTCACATGTGGGGGCATCTGTGTCAGTGGTACTGTCTAGCCACAATGTCTGCCTTTCCTGGAGTTCATTTGCTGACATGCTGGAGTTTCGGGCTGAGCTGGAGGGTGTCAGTGGTACTGTCTAGCCACAATGTCAGCCTTTCCTGGAGTTCATTTACTGACATGCTGGAGTTTCAGGCTGAGCTGGAGCAATGATGTGTTCTGATGGAGAAAACGTTCCTCTGGGAGCATTTTGGACATTTTTTTTTAAACTTTTTTTTTTTTAAATCTGGTGGTGGAGAATCCATTAACAGAGAAGGGCGGAGCAGTATAGAGATCAAGGGGAGCAGATGAGAAGGGTCAGGAAGGGGACATAGCCCACCTCCATCATGAGGAATAATTTGGTGGAGAATTTTGGGGCTTTCTTCATCCTTTCATAGAAGTCCGACACAACAGAGTAGTTGGGTTGAACACTGTGACTTCTGTGCTTCTCTTGTTAATGGAGTTGCGCAAAGGTCGGAAAAACTGTCTAGGTTGGAAGGAATCAGTAGTCAAAAGTTGCAGCAACATGGCATGCTCATAACTGGTTTCATACCTTTGATTCTCAAATGCAGCCAGCAACAGTCCCAAAGGCTACTGATGCTGCACTGAGGAGCATTTATCCTGTACCCAGCCCTGCATTTCTCTGGAGACCTGAGTGTGGCTGCAGGAGTCATAGTGGTGGGAGAGGCTGTGAAGAGCTAAAAAGGGCTAATGCAAATGTTTTCCATGTTTTTCCCATACCCGCCAGCAAGATGCAGTATAAATGGTATGATTTACTTTCTTCAGAAGCCAAGTTTAAACTCGATGTGTATGGGGGTTTTAGGTTATTTATTGAAACAAATCTACTTTATCTCACCCTCCCCCTTCTTGAGTGTATGTGTATATCTATATTTTTAAATAACTTGGTCAATAAAAGCAAGGTCAGCTTCTAATGTCTTTCAATTTCTGCTCCAGGTGTGTTAACATAACAACACAATGTTCACTTTAAATCATTCCTGAAGAAAGTTAAGGCCCACTCAAAATACTAATTTTTTTTTTTCCTTTTTCAATCAAAATGTTGGGCTTAATCCATTCTGTACAAAGTCTCAAAATGTTCCAGCGGGAATTATGCTCTTGGAAACATGCATTAAAAAAAAAAAGTTGCATAAGCAACTACAACTTCGTATTGGCCACGCTGCCGTTAATGCTTCTGCTAAATACTGTATCCAGTGTGCCTTTATCTATAAACTTCTCTTTTAGGACATGTCAGTGCGGTCAGCAGCATCCTTCAGTTTTGTGAAGTCAGTCACTTGTGTGTTTTGGGTTTGTTTTACATTTTTAAAGCTGGTGCTGAAGCCTAGGAGGTTGTTCTTTCAAGGAATTAAAATTCAGACATCTTTTTTAAAAAAAAACCAAAAACTAAAGACTGATTCTCTAGTAAAACAACTACAGGAATTATAAACCTGTGTTCCTCAATGCTGCAGAATTCCCAGGACTATCCCTCCCACCCCCCACGCTGTGGGCTCAGATCGTTGGATCGGTGGTAAGTTCATGTGCCATGAGAACGTATGCATGATTTGGCTAAGTGTTTCTCACTCTAACAAATAAGAAACATTAGACGAATTTCTTATTGCATAAGGCCCTAGCAAGTGGAAGTTTGTCACTAAATGCAACTAGATGCTGCTTTGACGTCTTTGTTGCTAACAGTATTTTAGTTATGCTTTGAAAGTTGAATATAGTTTAAATTTTGAACTCCTTCTAATTCTACTAGTTTGATTCTTCCATCTCCTTGGAAGAAGTCATTCCTCTTATGTAAGATCAGGCTTGCTCTTAATATGAAACTTGCACAGAAGTTGGCAATAATAGTTTCTGGCTCTGTGAATTTGTGATATCACATGTTTGTGTCACTTGGCCAAGCATGATTTTGTCAGGAATTTAGGAGAGACTATAGCAAGCCTTGTATCTTGATTCAGTACAACTTCTATTTCTAGAACTGTTGCTTTCTTGCAGAATGTCAGGTCATACCTGGAATGAAAGGGTCGGAAAACTAGCTGTTAAGGTGCAAACACAATGGTAGAATTCTGATGCTAGCCTTCTGGTTTGGGTTATGATGGGTTTGAAGCAGGTTCTCACACGTTTACTTCTACACACCCTTTTCCGTCATACAGAAAGAGTGCTGGCAGCTTCTTCGTGAAATAGGGATGGGGATATTCCCAGCAGTCTCATCTGCACTGAAAAGCAGAGGAGACCGGATACAGCTTGTCATATATGGCACAGAGTCCACTGAAAATAAAGAATAAATTGTTTGGCACTGATAAGACACTGACTCTCTCTGAAGGCAGACAGTGTGCTGATACTTACAGTGCCTCATAGCCTTGATGTATGCACTGGATTTTCATTTGCATCTTGGTTTTGCATTTATACATGCTGATGCATGCACAAGCAGAGATTGTCCAGCTATGTAAAAGGACTGCCTTTGTTTGCATTTTAAGTAAGGAGTATATTTTGGAAAAAAAAACTTCCTTACCATTACTGCCCGAGGCACTAAACAGGTTCCGTACTCAACTTCAGTACTCAATGCAGTGTATATGCAGCGTGAAACTGCCACGTTGTGAACAGGTCATGGGCTTGGGTTTTTGGTTTTTCTTAACCAAAATGCTACTGCAGTATGGAACAAAATTTACCTTGGCAAATCTGCTGAGATGCACATCCATATTCTCTGCCCTGTGGTTCAACCTTTCATATTAACTGAGTAGATTGCTGAAAAATTCAAGCAAAATGTGAACAGTCTAATTGCAGAGGGTTGTTTATTTTGGGGAGGGGGAAAAAAGGTTACTCTTGTTTCATGTGTAAGAGTACACTTTCAGCTGCATCCTTTTAGGTAAATAGTCTTAGCAGTCTCCCTCTGTCAGATGCCTCAGATACAGGTACTGTTCAAGCATCTGTTTTGTGCTGTCAGCTGTGTTTGCTTGTATGATGCTAATTTTCCTTTTCTTTCTTCGTCTCTTGCGGGCAAACAGAAGTGCACATCCAAGGAACTTAAGTGTGTGAACTTAGAGAGAGTGAGCGCATGCCTGTGTTATCTATGCTGAATTTAAACTTTCCTTAGACAGTTCTGATGTTCTTGAATAATTGAGTTCTTAGGCAAATTGTCTATTCCTGATTTAAGCCTCAAGTGAAACTAGTTTTGCCCCTCAATATACTGATAATGTGCTATAGTCAGCTGCAGCTTCGGGATGGTGGTAATAAAATGACAGCTATTTTAGTCTTCTGAGGCATTTATGTGAGGTTTGAGAGAGGTAAACATTCCTCTAGGAGAAGGGAAATGGGATAGAGGTGAATTAGAGTTTCTTAACATCAGCTATTGCTTATCATTGATCCCTAACTAGAATACTAATCCCATACTTTTGCAGCAAAGGAGAACCCATTTCAGGGTTTTAGGACCTTTTAGGTCCTGAATTCCCCAAGGCAAGGGAGAGAATCTTAAAACTTAGAAATAAAATTTTGAAAAGGAGGGAGAAAAGGCAAATCATTTTTTCTTTTGCACAGGCTACGAATCAAGTACAGATAAGCTGCACATCAGTAGTTTGTCTCTGTACAAAAGCACTTCTCCCTGTGGGTGGATGGGTGAGCTATTACAGTTTGTATTAGGAATCTGTTTCTAGAAAATGTTATTTATTGCAAATGATAATGTCTTGTAACTGGAACCATTTCTGAG